GAAGTTTAGTCAGATTTCACTTCATACAGTGGAAATAAAAGTGTCTGGTTTCAACTGTAACTAAGTTTTTAATCAAACATTTAGATTTCACTTTATTACAAAACTGTGCAGCTTGAATATCAAGCAGTTTCCAAATCTTAAAAACACTGCATTTAAAGTGAAGCATTTTGAAGGATTTTAGCCTGGTTTGGTGCAGGAGGTGCAGTGAGGGTCTGGTGTTGGCTGACTCGGCCTGCAGGCCCCTCAGGGCAGCAACTGTGAGCGGTCATTAACTCGGTGAGCAGCAGAGAGGGGACTCCTGCAGTAGTTAACAGCTAAATCCTCCTCATCAGTGCTAAACACCAACAACAGCCGTCCTCAGCACCAAAGAACATCGTGTTAGACCTTATAAAAAACAAGACGTCGTTATGCAAGAGCGAACCAGGAAGCGGTGCATCTCTGCTGCTCTGTGCTGAATGTGAGGTTACAGCCAGAGCGCCTGGCAGCTGTCCATACAGTGAATCATGTGTGTGTGTGTAGATGAATATGCGTGTGCACGGATGAGCTGTGGACAGGTATGACAGGCTGACCTCCACGTGTTACCAGAGAGAGTGTGTGGCCCAGTGTTACCTGTCATAACACGGGCTGCCTGGAGCCCAGAGCAGCAGCCTGACCAGGCCACTGGGCAGCCAGAAATAATAGAGACTGGCAACAGGGCAACGAGGGGTCAGATGGAGGGAGAGACAGGGACGGAGACGAGGAGGAGGAGGAGCGGGAGGAAGAGGGGATAGGAGAATATGACAGGAGGATTCAGCATGCAGAGGTTTTACTCCTTCATGACAAATCTAAAGGTTCTATAAATGTATAGAAGAGATGACGGATGGACGGATGGATGGATGGATGGATGGATGGATGGATGGATGGATGGATGGATGGATGGATGGATTTTTCTTTAATGGGAAGAGGAATATAATCTGTAAATATCAACGTATTTCCCTCCATCTTGTTCGGGCCGGAAAACCTTTAATCCGTATTCCAGACTTTTTCCACCAGACTTCATGAAAATGTTCTGTTTGGACACGGAGGCAAAACATTTACTGCAGTGAGAATAATGAGTAAAACGGGTCAATCAAGGAACGAAGGCATGCAGTTATCCTTCACAGCTAAAAATAAAATCAAGAAAATCTTTAATTTCAGTCTCAAATAACAATAATACACTTAATGTCCCACTAGAACCGAACCCACCTTTCATCACTTCCCGTTTGTTTCACCACTGAAAGGCGGCCGTCGTGACGTCCAACCGTCCAAATTCACTCTGAGGAACTTGGCCGGCAATTAAAAGCTCTGGATTAAAAGTGATTGCGTTTTGTGTCCTGAGGAGGCGCTGCCCGCCATCTTGAGGGGCCTCATTAACATGTCCGCCGCGAGCCGCGCCGAGCGGGGCCACGGGCAGTTAAAAAAATAATGGAGACATTATCAGAGTTAATGTCCTGTACCTGGAGTGGAGGAGATTTTATAACCACCATTGTGATGAGCCACAGGCAGACAGTCTTGCGAAAAAAGGGGAAGGTTGGATAAAGATAACCCTTCTTCTGACCAGACCCCCAGTGTGTGTGTTTTTGATCAGCTCCTACACGTTGGGAGCCCGAGCAGCTGGATTTCATTAATTGAGTGCTGGCAGCGCTCCGCTCTGGCGGCAGGGGTGAGTCACACTGGTGGGATTGGTCTCTCTCTCCCTGATATCATCTTCCAACCATAACTACAAATAATTATTCACTCAAATCCATTACCGGGGGTCAATCAAGTTCCCCAATCTGTTCTAAAGTCCAATTACTGGCGCCAAGGCTCCATTCGCGCCTTCCTGCAGATGAAGGCCTTGCCCACAGGCGACCCAGTAAATTACACACAGCAAACAGCGGAGTGTACATGTGTGGGAGAGTGGGCCTCCTCAGGTGTGTAATAAAGCAGAGGTACATACTGGACTCCCCTGGGGCATTCTCACTGAACCATCCAGCAGACTTCACCGGGTTAAATAGAATTAGCTCCGCGCAACGAGACGCACTTTGAATACCAACTGCGGCTCCGCACTCTACAGGCTAGAGAGCACGCAGCGCGCACACTGAAGCCTGGTATTAACATCCATCTCTGCGGTTGATATAATAAGACGTGTCGCCATGAGGGTCTTCTTATGAAGAGGCAGCAGCGTGACCCATCACAGCCGCGTAATGAGCGAGGCGCTACATGAGCCGGGGAGCCGAGCTGCAGCTCGCCGACGCCATTAAGGAGAGTCCAACTCCAACGTTTCTTTCTTGAGATAGTAAAGCACTTTGAACTGCCTGAAATGTGCTATACAAATAAGCCTGATTGATTGATTGATCGATCATCGATGGAGGACATGCTGTTTGCTAGAGGGATGGAGAATTATAAGCCAGTTCTGATTTCCATTTTTTTTTTTTTTTTTTGGTTACTTTACTAATTTCTGGTCTTGACTCAAAGATCAATTTTGAATCAAACAGTGGGCCTCCAAAAATGATCGAATCATGAGATGGTAAATGATTCCCAACCCAAGTTTGAAGCCAGGCATAAGGAAAAGGATTAGGGTCACTGAAAAAACTAATGAATAAAAAAATCTGATTTTTTTTTTTTTTTCAGAATTACAACTTTACCCTGAATTCTGATTTTAAACTCAGAATTATGACTTTTCTCAAAATTCAGTTTTTTTCTGAAAGTTCTGACCTCTTTTCTCATAATTTTGCCCTTTTTTCATCACTGATTCTCAGAGTGCCGACTCAGAATTCTGACTTTTTTCCTCATAATTCCAACTTTTTTCTCAGAAGTCCGACAAACTCAGAAGATTAAAGTCAGAATTAGTCTGATTAGATTCCCACCCCTAGTAAAAAGCCAGGCAGCTTATCCAGCTGAGTGTGTGAGTGTGTGTGTGTAAGGAGGGAACGGACGGTGCCTGGGTGTGATGTGTGCAATGAGCAGAGCAGCAGGGACGGCTGAAGCTGTGCAGCTCAGCAGTCCATGGCCAGTTTGTCACTGCCCCCCCTCCCAAATCAACCAGGTAGCAGTGCCGCTCTGACATTTCCCTCAGTGTCAGGCTTCCCCTTACGCTCTGATCTGAGCAGAAAACAACTAAACTCCAACACTGATACAACCAGCAGGAAGACAAACACAGATGTGTTTCCAGGCTACAACATGCCAGCTCTGACATTTTTAGCAGATCCAGTTTTTCAGGGTTTTCTCTCCAGACTTTGAGGCTTTGTGAGGGGAGCAGAGTTCCTAGAATGAAAACAGCACGAAGGCTTTGTTTAGATTTGTCCTACAGACTGCTGACACCGTCTTTCTAATCCTGTCCATTAAACATGAGAAACCTCATCAAAGAGGCAGTCTCTATCCCTCTACTTACATTCAAGAGATCCAGCAAAATGCTAAACACATGTGCAGCGACTCTGTGTTTAGGCTAAAATGGCCGAACACGAGCCGGCAGCAGTTGATTAAATCTTTCTTAGCGAAACCGCATGGTGTTGTTTACACTGGAGATAACTGTGTGTATACCTGTGTGTGTGTGTGTGTGTGTGTGTGAGAGAGAGAGCTGCAGAACTCACTGTACCCTGTTGCAAAGCCAGAGCAGTCAGAGTGTGTATGCGTTTGTGCCAGCATGATGGAGGAGAAGGGAGTTACTCAGACCTAATGAATCCATCTGCATTCAGGGGGCATTCTTCCTCTCGTACGCAGACGGGAGCAAACGAGCAGCGACCTGGGAGTCTGTCCAGCAGCCTGGCAAGGACGGGCACAGATAACCGAACGCACCCAATAATTTCCCCCTAAAATACACAAAGACAGGCTAAAAGCTGCCTTCTTCTACTTTGTACTGTTCAAGGAATCACTCTTGTTTTTTTCTTTTTTTTTCTTGGAGGAGGAGGGGAGCAGGAGCTACAGTACAGCCTGTCCTCCAGGAGAGTGGCAGCTGTTGATGTCTTCACCCCCGAGTGACCTGGCACCCTGCGCAACCTCAGTGAAGAATGGATGGAGGACAGGAGGCGTTGGGAGGGGAGGGCGGCTTGGGAGGTGTGTGCCCCGTCATTAGGGTAATGAGCCCAGAGCTGGGTGGTGTTTGGGAGACCTCTAGTGGGGGAAGTTTCAAGAATTTTACATACAGAACCAGGTGTTGATAAATGGAGTAATCGCGCACAGCTTCGTGAATTATTCAGGAAAAAAAGGCCTAATCTAGATGTTAATATCTGCATCAGTCCTGATATTGAAAACAATTCTGGATCAGATCTATTCGATAAATTCTGTACTCATCCTTTATTATTTATTTTACGTATCTGTGTTTTATATTAATTATCTTCTTTGTTCTTCAAACTAAACCAAGAAAAATGGTGTTAAAAAGGCCATCAAATCATTCAGTCTAAAACACACATTTCCCATTTTTATATGGTTTGCATTGCCCAATTTATTCAGGTTAAACTCAAAATGAAGCCTAAAGCTGCAGTGGAGAACCCCACCGCTATGCTTCCAGGTCCATCTTTTTCTCCAAAAAAGTTGTCTATGAGATAAAACTTCGATCTACAGTAAGTGAAATAAGATGCAACTGCAAATAAAAGAAAATGTATTAATACAAAATTTAAGAAAATAAACAAAATGGTCAGAAAAAACTAAGAAAACAAATAGCAACATTAAAATAATACTGTTAAAAATGAAATAATTTGTCATTGTACAATCAAATAAGTTAATTATTGTTTTGTTTTTTATCTAATATTTCCTACACGAGTTACTTTATGAATCCATTCATTTATTTTGATATTTATTGCCAATTTTGGCAGCATCAGTCCGCCGTAGTCTTTTATAGAGAACCTCACCTCGGTGTTTTTGGCCCCAGGCAGAAGAGGAAAAGCCAAAACCCAGGAGTAAAATGCTTGCAGGTAACTTTGATCACTCCTCTTCTTTCAAATGCAAACAACAACGGATGAAAAGCTTCGTCAATTTCTGCTACAAACACTTAAATAATCGATTTAAGATCCACATTCGTCTTTTATGTAACCATTTTAATCAAGTTACAACATCTGTAAAAGATTTTCACAATAAAACACTGTCCATAGCAGCTCCGACAGGGTCATAATTGTTTATATGCGAGGCCTCTTTTTGTTTAGCTTATCGTTTAAAGATTTGCATTGTGCTCAATTTAAAGCTGTTCTGGTAAATAACCCAGTTTGTAAAAGTGATTAGAAAAGGGGTGGGAGCAGGAAAGCCTCAAGATCTGGACCTTTTTTCTAAACACTGAGAAACTTTAATGCTGCAGTGAAAACTGGACCAGCACTGACTTTAAAACTATCAGATTCATTATTTAGTCACTTCTTACTGTTATTGCCATGGAGATGAAGCCATACACCTCGCTCACCACCTCTTACATTTGATGAAGTATTAGGGCCACACTAAGACAAAATAAAATAAAATGACAGGAATAAAGTCATAAAACCACGAGAACAAAGTCATATTACAAGAAGTCGTAAGGGAATAAAGTCAAAATAACACAAGCTTAAAGTTGTATTAATATGAGAATAAAGTCGGAATATTTCAAGAATGACATATTACCTTAAAGTTAGAAAATGACTATTCTTGTAACACTACAACTTTGTTCTTGTATTATTTTGAGTTTATTCTGAAAATATTCCAACTTTATTCTAGTTATACGTCTTTATTCTCATATGAATATTCTCAAAGTACTTTGACTTTAATCTTTTAAAGTTATGACTATTTTCGCACAACTTAATTCTCGTAATTTTATGTATTTATTTTCTTAGAGTGGCCTTCATACTCCGTTATACTTAAGAATAAAAATGAATCAGAATTTGGTTGTTTCTCAGAAAGGTTAAAAACAAACACTGTTTGTGCAAATCAAAGAATCACAGCCGTTCACGCCGTCCTGCCTTCCTTGACCAGAGGGGGCGCAGCGGCGATGGCCACCAGGAATTTGTTCAACTCAAACGTTCTGTTGGCCGCCATGTTACGATGTCTCTGAGAAAGCTTTGAGAAGCAGGTCAGCAGCCAGTCCTGGAGAGATTTCTCCCCTGGTGACCTTCTGCTCCAGGCGGGGCAGAGTCCCTCTGACGGCCGGGTGGTTCTGGAAATGCCAGAGGACGTTCTCCTGGATCAGACTCCACATCCAGACCTTCTGCTGGGCCCGCCGCCGGCCCTGCAGCTCGCCGCTGCTCAGCATGGCGGCCCTGTACGCCTCCATCTTGGCCCAGACTTCTGGGATGCCCTCAAAGGTGTTGGCGGAGGCACGGACCACCTGAGGAGGGGATTTGTGAGGGGGGCCGGGGGGGGACCGGGTCACAGACGTGGATTAAAACCCTCACTCATCTGACAGGTTTGACAAAAAAAAACTTTAAAAAAATAGTCTGAACCTCCTTCCACACATCGCCATGAAGAACTATCCAGACTTATTCAACTGTTTTACATCATTTCACATGACAAGCACACAAGTCTGCATGTTCAGTTGTGATTTTATATGAAAAATACGCAGAGCAGCAGCAAAAAATGTGATTTACCTGAGTAACTTTTTGAAATGTTCCTTCAGGGACATTTTAACTGTACCATACTTTTTACTTTTACTTGAGTAATGTAAAGTATCACCACTCTTACCTGACAAAAGTTTCTTGACACTCTACCCAGAGTGAATAAGTTTGCTGAATGAACAGGTTTGTTTTAACCAAAAATGCACCAGAGAGAAAAAAAACAAAAGTGAGACCTCTTGTTTTAACACAATCCTTGTTATTCTAATATTAATTTCTATTTTTAATTTTCTACAAATTTCACAAAGAAACTTGTCCATCTTCTTTTCTGCAAGTTTTATGCTTTTCTTTATTTTAAAAACTGAAGTAAACGGAGTTCTTTAAAAATAAAAAGTTTTCTCTTTTTAAAAGGTTTTGTAACATTTGCAGCTCTAAAAGTGTTATTTAGCTGGACTGAAGGCCAATGTGGCTCCTCGGGTTTTAAAAGTTGCAGACCTCTGCACAACATTATGTTGATCTATCACATAAAAACTTTAGGGTTGTAATCTGACAAATGTGTACAAATTTAAGGATATGAAAACATTTGCAAGGTATTTAGCCCAACATGAAACCTTTAAACTCTAGAATAATAAATAAAAACAACAAAATAATGTTTGTTTAGTGAAAAAATGTAGTTTGATTTTGTTTGATGGTTTTCTTTCTTGTTTTTTTGCACCTTTGAGATGTTTGTGGTTTCATGCAAAGCAAGACTGAATGTAGAGAAGTGAGTTAAAATGAGAGAAGACAGCAGACTCCACTGATGGCTAACAGACTCACTGAAGGGGAAAAGTCTGGAAAAACACTAAAATTGATGGTGGCGGAAGCGATGAAGCTTTTGTTTGAAAATGAAGGATTTTAGTAAGAAAGGAACAAGGTCAAGGCTGAGACGGAGCATGAAAAATACTATTATTACGTCTTCGTTATTGTCAAACCTTTCCTCCGCCCTCCTGTGTCGGCTAACATGCATGCAGCCATCGTCTCCTCACTCAGACTCACCTTGGGGTTCCAGGATCTGGTTTGTCTCCTCAGCAGTTTCAGGGCGCTGGTGTATTCGGTCTGGATCCGTCTGGCTGGAACCACAAGATCTCCATCTGACTTTGTCACCACCACCAAGTCGGCTCTCTCGATAATGCCCCTCTTGATGCCCTGGACAGAAAATTATTTGAATAAAGGAGGTCATTAACAAATAAAGTCTGACAGATCTGTGCACAGACTGAAAGAAGGATGGTTTTCAGTGTCGTTTAAGTTGATATAAATAATTGTTATTCTAACAAAAAGGACTTTTGCATATATATATTTCCACTGGTACTGCATTTTTTCTGAACTAGTATTCACTTTTCATTTATTGTCAATAGTCTTGTCTTTTCAATGCACATCAAGTACATAAAAAGAGTTATCCTACTCCGTTTCACTTCCTTTGGATCGGTGTGTCCCATTTCTGATAAACACAGTATTTCTGTATTTTTACTCTATAATCTTATTTTTTTATATATATTTTCAACACCTTTGGATTTTTGTGGGAGCCTTGATTTATCAATGCTGCTGATGCACTTCAATTTCTCCAGCATGAGGCAAGGATATTTCTATTCTTTTAATTTTTCCATAAAAATCTACTCAAAACCCAAGTACAAAATTATAAAGATTACAAAAAATACAAAAATGTTGGGTTAAACCTGTTTTAAGATACCTATATTAAAGTACTACTATGTTTTAAAGTGTACACAAGACAATATCTGCCATAAAATATGAATGGAAACAGGAAGTTCCTGAAAGGTGCCTGAGGTTCGACGATCACAGGGCTGATAACTGACCAAGCAGGCGTTAAGCTGCCACTTTAAGGAGAAATGGGTGAAGCTATTGCCAATGGTGACAGACAATGTATTCCAGCTCCTTTAATAGATAAAAACCTTCAGTGAAAACGAGGATTTTCTGAATTGAGCAGCCTCCCCTGGAGGTCGACCTGCTTCTATTTATACCATCGTGCTTTATAATAAAATCCTTCTGGGGTCGCTTAGGCAAATATATGATAGTGGCCTCCTATCAAACACTTTTATAGCTTTTTTGTAAAGCTGCTTTTTTGCCTTTTAATGCAATGGCACAACAAATGACCGTGTTGTGAAACGGTATTCAATGTGATAAAATCATGCAGTGAGATTTACCAGCTTCTGTTAAGATAAGAGGCCTAATCAGTTTAAAATCTTGCAGGTTAAATTGTTTGAATTATCATTTTGTATGGGTTGTTTAAACACGAGACAGGAGCGCAGAATTATACAGATTTATTTAAAATGGTGACTACCTCCTAGCTCCTCTCCCTTTAGAAACATAAAGGATCCCCTCAGTGACTGTTGCTTAGTGGTACAGATTGCTTAGGGATCGTAATGCAATTTTTGATAGTGTTCAATAATTGACAAATATCTTTTAGTCAATCTTGCATTTTTATCAAAGCAGCTGTCTCAATATTTTTTCGGTGTATGAAACTCTCAGCATCACCTGTGAAGAATAATTAGAAAAGGTCCCAGGATGCAGCCCTGTGGAACCCCAACATATGTCTAATTATATACGAGGTGGGACACAGACACACATTGAGTTTTGTTTGATAAGTAGGACTTAAGCCACAATATAACATTCATAGAAAGATTTTAATAAGTTTAATCAGAAGAACTTAATGTCTTCTTAAGATCTAAAAATAGCAAATATAACCCAACAAACACTTAATGTTCTCTATAAAAAAAAAAACATACAGTTGTTTTGGTGGAGTGGTTGGCAATTAGACCAAATTGCATTAAAATTATGTAATTAAAAACATGTTTTAACTGTTTAACATTGTTTCAGTGTTAATAAATTCTTCCATCTGATTTTAAGTCTGCATCACGTTTCTAATGAAAAAAACCTTGACTATAATCAAAACCAATGTCATCTCACCTTCCTGTCTAACCTCAATCACAACAATATGAATCATAATGAGCTGGCCTAATGAAGCCACTAATTATCCTAATTAATAAACTGATTAGCATATAGTTTTTGTCAGCAAAACAAACCTAGACTTCCGCAAATAAGACATCATCAACTCGTCTGTTTTGACAAAAATGTTAACTTTCCAGGAGGAAAAATGCACACGCATTTCAATTTTAACAAGTTTGGTATGAATGAAAAAGAAAAACATTAATAAATTCAATTTTTTCCATTATAAATTCAACAGTAAGAAAATAAATGATCAAAATCTTCTGGAGGCTTTTTGATTAAATGTAAACAACCTTAAATACTTAATTATTGCACATTTTCAGCATTCAAGGTAGAATAAGTCAACATCTCTGTTGTTTTTATTTAGTTTTTTAATTATGTAAAGCACCTTGAAATGCCTTGCTGCTGAAATGTGCTATGCAAATAAAATTTGATTGATTGATCTCACATCTTGATTTGGCAAAATGTCTCCAAATCTATCAAATTGTGATCATAAGCTGATACATCACACTAAACAGGGAAAACTTTACTCTCCTACTGGTGAAGCTATTGCTGTGTTTAGTTGAATGTAGATATGGGCTGACATATTTTTTCTCTCATTATTGTGGCAAATACAAATAACCTGGTTAATTACAACTGACCTAAAACAAGAGACATCCTATGTTTAAGTCACTCACAAATTATAGTCAGGGATGACATGTAAAAACAACTTCTGAACCTGCAGCGGTCGCTAATTGTTAGGAAAACACGACAACAACCAAAAACTTTTTTATACCAGAATAATGTTCTGATATTTCAGTGTGTTGCTCCTCACTGACCTGGAGTTCATCGCCACCTGCTGGTGGGATCAGAAGCACAAACATGTCAACCATGTCTGCCACTGCAAACTCAGACTGACCAACACCTGAAACAGCAAAATATGTTTCAGTCAGTAATGCAAGACCAGAACTTTAGCTTTCACTAAAAAAAAGCCAAAAAGTCACACCAAAAGGTCATAAAAACGTCTCCTACAGAGAAAAAAATTATTTTTTTTGCATTGTGAACTCAACTTCAAATGCCTTAATAGCAAATGAAGAAGTGAATAAGAAAAAAAGTTCTTCTGAGGAATTGTTTGGATGAATCATAAATGAATATTCATGAAGTCAAACAAACTTGAGATTCCTCACAGTGAATAAATTTTACCCTTGATATGCAAATCAGGGGCCTGGTGACCAAACTGTCTGAGTATCACTAAAGATCGAAAAGTGTGTATTAACAGTTACAAATACTTCCTGTGACTGTCACTCCTAGCATTGTTCTGCAGCACAAGAAGAACCAAAAACACTTTCACCAAATCAATATCACACAAAACTATTAGTTTTTGTTTGTATAATTACGTCACCCATCTGTTGGAGTATCCTTTTTACCAGGTGTTCTTTAATCTGATAAGTAAACTCTTTTCAGGCTAGTAATACGAACCTATAGCCGGCTATATATCAGAAAACATGAAAAACATTTCTACAGGTTTCACCAAATCAAATTTAATACTTTTAAATACATTTTATCGTGGAATTTAAGACCTATATCCGCACAGAAATGCAAGAACTTCGTTCAGGCAAAAATAAATTTGCACTTACCTATGACGGAGACAAAAAAAAAAATGCATAGCATTCCTTTAGTGAATTTGAACTGGGTGAAGCTAAAACTGTCATTTGAGGTGTTTTGACTAAAACATATTTACAGACTAATGTGTTTTTAATTTAAATGCAAAAGGTAAATATATTATATACAGTTTTGGCTTAAATATTGTTATGAGTGTGTTATTTATTCAGCAAATTGGTATACTTCAGTTAACGATTAATTGATTTCTACATTAATTGACGATTATTTCAATAATCGATTAATCGTTTCAGCACCAAATCAAATTACAATGACAATGACGCTTCAATTTCTTATGCGGCTTTACTATAGATTGCCTTACCAACAGTCTCCACTAGAACGATGTCATATCCTGCTCCCTCACAAAGAACGATGGCCTCGTTGGTTGTCCGGGTGACGCCGCCGAGCGTCCCCGAAGCCGGCGACGGCCTGATGAAAGCGTTCATGTCTCTAGAAAGCTCAGTCATACGAGTTTTATCCCCTAGCAAAGACCCTGCAACCAGAACTCAGTTAGGTAGAGCTTGAATTTTATTTTGAAGGACCATATTTTAACTCTTATTTGTCACCTCCTGAAGTGCAGGAGGACGGGTCAACAGCCAGCACTGCCACTTTGTGTCCCTGTCCAGTTAACATTTTTCCCACCACCTCAATGAATGACGACTTCCCAGCTCCAGGAGGGCCAGATAAACCTAAACACGAAACAAGTAGAGAATTAATCAACATTATAGTAAAGCTGTGGTATAGATCAGAACGTTTTCCAAGCTACATAAAACATGCCTTATTACTGTAAATTCAATACAAATAATAAAATGCTTTATTTTATTTTAAACATAATGCTTCTGCATTAAAGAAATGTAGATTAAGGGGATAAATGAAAAATCTGCAGAATGTGCCAATTTTATCCAATTGAAATGTACTCCTTTTTTATGCAAGGTGCATTGGCCCTAACACACCATCGGTATTAAACTTCTTGGAATAAACTTCCTTCATTTTTGTGGTGTTAAGGAGATTATTTCTTATTTATGTGTTCCCATGGAAAAGCATCATTGCTGCCTCTGTACCACACACCTACTCTAAAGGCCACTGGTTTTCCTCCATTTCTGCGCTCCTGCTCCCTCCTGAAGACCAGCACCTTCTGCAGCAACACCTGAGCCAGCTCCTTCTTCCTGGGATGCTGGGTCTCCACCAGCGTGATGGACTCCGCCAGGGAGGCCCTCTGTCCAGAGATTAGACCATCATACAGTTTATCCAACAGTCTCTGTTCGGGCCCACTCAGGTCCTGGATGTGCTGGCTGACAGCAGTGCTGCTCACACTCCTGTGGATGTGGCAGCTGGAACCCGGAATAGTGCTGCTGTGACCCGGGAGGGAACCTGTTAAGATTCCCCTCTGATGGAGAAGCCTAAAACCAGTGAGCGGAGGACGGTAGAAGTGGCGGAGGAGACGAACACCTAGCCGTCTCATTGTCTGGAAGGAAATGGGACATGAACCACCACCTGAAAGTCTCATCAAAATTGGTAAACATCACATTTTCTGGGCGATATTACCAAACACCGCCTAAGTTTCCAAAAACAGTCGTTTTATGTTCGTTAACGGCTGCTTACGCACGTCACATTTGACTGACGGTTAAAGCTCAATGCTAGCATGTGCGTTAGTAAGTTAACAGAAACTGTGACAGTGTTTTCTTTATCATATGAAATATCAAGACCAAAGACCGAACTTACTATGACCTCGCACCAGCCGCTCAGAGGTGCAACACTTTACATGTCGGTCCCGTTTAATTCATTCTTTTCCGGTTTCCTGTGACGTCATTTTAATGGTCCGAAAAAAAGCAAACAAATGACTTAAAAAGTATATATTTTTAAAATAATCGAACTTTCTTTTCTGATTCATTTGTAAAAATATTAGTTTTTTTTAAAAAAACGTCTTAAATAAACAGGCAAAAATATTTAAGTTCAAATATCTAAATGGATGCAATTCGCAATCATTACCTCTAGATGGCAGCGGAGGAAAACGATGTGCAGCAACCAGGAGACTTCGTGACAACTTTATTCCTAAAGCCACATCCAAACAAAATAACTTTTATTTGTTGTAGCAATGTACAGCACTGCTTCCCAATTTTTAGAGTTCGTGACCAAATTAAATGTTTTTTTTTAATAATTTATTGTATTTTATTCCAATGCCTTATAAACTACTTCAAAAGATTTTGTCAGACTCCTATTTGTATTTATTTATTTACTGTTGAAACCAGATGTTCAAGTATACTGTCTGAAGTGAAATCTGACCAAATTTCTCATCTTAGGTCCTTTTATATTTGCTAAATGCCACACTAAAGAATAAAACAAGCATGTCAAGATTTATTTATGACTATTCCAGTTCCTAACAATCTTAACTTTCAGCGCCTTTCTACTCATACTGACCCATCTGGACACAGAAATATTCACACACTTACAACAGATGCAGTATTGGTAGCTAAAGTGAGCTCCAACCTTCACACAAACATAATGCTTATTTGTAAGGCAGACACACAAAGCTTTCAACTTCTGAAAGTTTGCCCAGAAAAATGTTGACACATCCAAAGAGGAAACTGGTTTTGTGATTAATGAAACAATTTTATTCAATCTTCCAGTAGAGACTTGATATTCATGGAATAAAACTGCTTTTCTGGGAGTTTTACAGAGCAAAACAGAAAAGAAAACAAAAAACAAAGAAAACAACAATGAGGCAAAAATTTGAAAGGGCGGAAAAACCAAAAAACCTAAAAAAAAAAAAAAAAAAAAAAAAAGAATGTTATGAGTAAATCAGTTCAGTTGCAAAAAGGATTGCTAAAAGCAAGAAAGAAACAAATGGCAAAATCTGCATTTAATAAAAAACACAATAGAACAGTAACTGGCATATTTTTCTCAGTTACTGGTTAAAATCTGAATGCTCAACATTTTCCCTTAAACATTATTTTAATACACTTTGTTCAGTCACTTTAATAAGAGAATGAGCAGTCACTGAATATTTACACTACTTTTCAAAAGTGTTTGAAAACAAAACAAATATTCCTACAGGTTTTATTGAAGTCAAATGATGCAGAAAACTGATGTGAGTTCATGTGTAAAAACAGCTTTGAAAACCAGCCTTCAGAACAAAACCACATAAAAAGAAACAGTTGGGACCGTATGGTACTGAAGGAGGAGTAAAGGGTGAGTTAAAAATGAAAACAGACGGACTAGCAATTTAATAAAAATGTGTAAATAATGTAACAGGATGAAACAGGTGGGTGGAAACAAAGAGCGCTTTCAAATATAAATTTCAGCTATTACATACAAATAAATCCAGTAGGTATTTTGGTTAAAATCAAGAATTTGCAGCAGTATGTTTGTGACAATCAGTCCCATGCTGACAGTAGAAGCATAAACCATGCTCAGAATGGGTAAAAACTGAGGCAACCAGAAAATAAACATTTGAAGCATTTAAGGAAGATTTATGCCACTCTGGAAGTAACAAAAGAAACTAGCAGAGATATTTAACACAACAAAGTTACTTTCTTGCAACTTTTAGGATACTTTCCAGAACCAGCAGGTTGCATTGCTAACACTTAAAAGTGTATTATTTTCCGTTTTTCTTAATAACGGGATTTCTAGACTTTCAGGTTACTTTTCAACACGTATCAGAAAGTAACTTATAAATTTCAGGAAGTATCATGTAAGCTAAGGAAGGGCTAAGGAAGTATCATGTAAGCTCCAGAAAGTTACATGTATATTCCAGTAACATAACCCTTGAGTTTCAAAAGTACTTTTAAAATTTCAGAAAATAGTAATCTGTAAGTCCTAGGAAAGTAACCTGTAAATTCAAGGAAAGAAACCCAGTAAGCACCGAAAAGTTACTTCAAAGTAACCTGTAAATTCAGGAAACCCTGGAGGTACAGAAGAGTTACTGAAAAGTAACTTATAAATTTCAAAAATACTTTTCTGGTTTAATTTTCAAACCAGAATTTTTGATTCTGAGCAATAAATCTGTAAACTTCATTAAAGTAACCTCCAGGTTGCAGGGAGTTTAAAAAACGAAACATCATTAGTCCTCATCAACAGTGTTTATGTAATTACTCTCAGTACCAGGAGGGTAAAATGCTGCAGGATGGAACTTTATATTTAACAGATAAAATGGATCATGAAGTGTTTCCAAAACCTTTGAATGATGGCGTGAATCCCCAGTGCTCCCACATCAGACACCATTCTGCTGTAGGCTAAAACCGCAAAAGAAAAACTAAACTTCCTCTTGTGTTTTGTCTCAACTTTATGTCATGTTCAGCTACCATTCTTATGCAACGCCACACTAACCAAAAGATGCTCTGCAAATCCACATATTCTAATGGTGAAAACATCTACATAGTAAACAAAAAGTGTAACAAAATGACGATGAAAGTCAGTCTTTATCTTGTGAAATGCTACTTAAGCCCCATGCTCCACCCACAACCAGACACGTTGCACTTTTAAACCCCTCATTTTGTCTTTGTGTGACTAATTATGATTTCTGATGGCATAACATCAATTCATTTACCAATAATATAAACCACTGTACTCTGCACAGCAAAAACACAGGATTTTGCCAAGTATTTTTGTCTACTTTCTAGAACAAATATCTTAGTACACTTCAAATAGGATAAAACTAACTTACAAGTAACTTTTCAGCAAGATTTAGGAGCTTGGTTTAAGCCAATAGTCCCTTAACATTGGTTAAAAAATTTTCACTGGCAGATTATTTCACTAATAACAAGACATTTATTCCATATTATAAGCTAAATAATCTGCCAGTGGAAATATATTGTTTTAAGGAAATGACGACGTAAAACAAGCTTCTATTTCTTGCTGAAATAGTTTTGCTTCAAGTGTACTAAGATATTTTCACTAGACCAAAACTACTTGATAAGATTTTGTGTTTTTGCAGCGTTGGTACATTTGAGGCCAATTCCACTTATTCAGACAGGAAACATCAGAAAACTGCAAATTTGATGACTTGGAATGTCCCACAAACTGTTGCAACACAAATACAGCTGTATTGTTAAGGGAATATTGAAATGCAAACTAGATTTCAGTCAGAATAGCAGAACAATGAAGAAAGCATTTGTAGCAGGAAGATACCAGAGGAGTTGTTTGCCTCAATTATTACAGTTGGTCACAAAGATCAAGTATCTTCCAGTTGCGTCACACTCACGTTGCTTCCTCCTCTCCCAACCTGTTCATGTGTTCAACTCGGATGTCCTTCAAGTAGAAGCGCCGTGTAACAATCCACCTAACCTTACTGGTCCCAGACCAGCTTGAGCTCCCATCAGTTACAGACAACTGACTGGACTACAAACCAGTCTGGGACCAGTTAGCTGCTATTCTCGCTACTTGGACCAAGATGCTGGGGTGCGGACAGCCACGTGGCTGAGGAGCCTGGGGTTACTGGAGCCTATGAGACAGAGGAAATGGGGTTGTGGGGGGAACCCATCTGGGTCAGGACTTTATCCAGCCACTGCAGCGGACCGTGCAGGTGGATCTCAATCCAGCAGGGCGTGCTGGTCACATCTTGACGGTGGTACTCTGCTCCCCAGCCCTGAAATGCAGGATTGTATTAGATCTTCCAAAGTAGAACTGTTCAGACAGCATCAATTAAAAACATTCATCTCCCTTCAACTTTTTCACATTATGTCACTTTACACCTAGATTCATATTTGCTTATTTTCTCTCCAGAGACAGCTGCAAGTCTTTCAAGGTGCATCTCTAGCAGTTTTGCACGTCTGCTGTGTAAAACATCTCAAGCTCAATCAGTTCACACAGAGGACTTCTATAAACATCAGTCTTTAAGTACTGCCACAAAGGTTTTGACTTTGATTAGGACATTTTAAGAAATGAATATGTTTCATCCACCTTCTTCCAGTGATACTATTATGATCTGTAGAAATGCCGATGATGATTGGTTGTTTTTGTTAAAAACAACCAATCACAGCCAGGAGTAAGTTCTTAGCGATGTCAATCAACCTCATGTATGCAAGTCAAAAATATCTTAAAGACCTTGTTTTTATTTCAATTATTGCCTCTGTGAGCTGACCTGGATTAAAGGGTAAATAAATGGAAGCTGTGAAACACAGTCGAACAAGATGGCTGCTGCAGGTGAGCAAACCTCAGTTTGAAAAATGGAATCTCAAGAAGTGCACTGGTGAAAAAAAAATCCAGATTTTCTGAAAATTAAATCTTCAAAACAGAAAATTTGATTAATCAGTAAAATCAATGTATTTCTTAGTCCCATATAAAAGATTAGGAAAGTGACTCATTCAAATTTGACTCAAATTCAAATTTGAATGAGTCAATGAATTTGTATGAGGTTGTATAATTTCAACTTGTTTTATTTTTCAGAGACTTCTAAAGCAGATTACCTTAACGAAGCTCATCCGGATGGTACACATCTTGGTGAGCTCATAGACGGCCTCGAAACCGTGGTTGACGGACTGGGCCAACAGCTCGGCAAACTCCTGGTTGTTGAAGATCTTCAGGCTACATCTGCTGGGAATCTTGCACACAGTTGTGGGGTGGAAGTTATGGTGGTAGTTACAGTTACGACTCTGGACGAAGATACTGCTGTCGCTCAGGCACTCTGCGTACACCTCCCCTCCAACGTAATACAGGTGAACGCCTGACAGAAACGTGATAACAGGCTTTTTAATTCCAAAAAGCACCAGCACTGTGGTACAGCTGAATGATGAACTGATTGTTCAGATGCTTCACCTCTGCCGATGTGCCGCCGGGTGTTCTCGATGGTGGAGTTGCGGTTGACGTTGGAGAGCAGGCCGAGGCAGAAGCGGTTGCGGTTGTTGGAGGGATCTGTGAAGCCGTCGACAAGAACGCTGGTGGAGGAAGCCTGAAAGGCCTCGCCAACGCGATTGTTCAGCTCATAGTAAACAATGGAGCACCAGTGCTTTGGTTCCTCGTAGGCCACTGGCTGCACATCTGCACAGGAAACACGAGGAGAGGGTCAGAGGAGGGAGCCAAGGTCAGAGAACAGCCAGACACAGAGGCAGAAAGACTTCTCTGAGCTGGAAAGATTGTTTTTAATTCCAGCTCATCCACGTAATTATTCCAAACTTTCTCAGGAATGTTTCAGAAGTCGTTTCCACTGACTTTAGAATGATAACCGGATATTACTACGAGCGGAAAAGATGAGGAGGACGACAGGAAGTGGGTCGTTTCTTATTTAATGGAAATGCCGCAATTGTGAAATTTAGAGTTTTTAACACAAGTTCTGCTCTGAATTTGTTGTTCTTTCACCAAATGGCATTTTTTAGAGCCTGTACTCTCCAGTTAGTAGTTAACTGTATTACTAGATTACTTTACAATTATTTGAATAATCAGTTTATCACAATGATTCTGATTAAAGTTTCAAAAGTTGATGAGTAGCTTTGTCATTCTTGTTGCGCTCTAAAAGGTGCAGCCTGTGTTTTGTGGTGTGATCCTGTAGCTTCTGGGCCATTCCAGGATGACCTCCCCCATATGGAAAGAAGAATAAATCATGTTTATCTAGGTGCAACCCCCCCTCCCAAACTTCCTCTGCAGTGTGGCACTGGCTGGCAGGTGTGTTTTGTCTTTCTCCTTCCCAGAGCTGATCTACAACAGAAACCTGCCCCCCTGTACAGGATGCAGCTTGTGGAAAAGGAAAAAAAGAAAAACATCAACACACCTCCGACCTCCCGTTACCAGCTAACAAAACTTTCAGCGCCTCTTCCTGCTACTGCTGCAACCGGATGAGGACAAATCTGTGAGCTTAAAGTGAATGATGATACAGAAGTGCAAATAATGTACTTTATGGGCCATAAAGAGGAGATAAAAGTTCAGACAAAGGTTTTAATACACTCCCTGCCTAGTCTGTGGTGAGTCAGATTAAATTCAAAACAAACTCCTAAATGTTTTCTGATTTTGTGTGCTAAAACATTAAGACCATGAAGCGTTTGTTAACAAGCTGCATAATGAAAATCGGTGATTATTTTCATAATCGGTGGCAACTCAGGTGTAAACTAAAACAGTAAAACATGAATCGGGTAAAGACTTATTTCCCACTGGCTTTAAACAATAAAGCTACTTTAGGTGGGTGATATCAAGTTTAGTTTACTTAAGATATTTTGTGGTATTTGTTATGATGATGATAAAAGTGATGATAAAAAAATTATTGCAGTCTCCTTTGGCAAGTCTGTATGGCTTTATCTGCATATCAATAAGCAATGAATCAACTAATTGCATGATAAATTAAAATGAGCTCAATAATGTCCATTTTGATGATCAATATTTTTAAAGGAAGTTTCGTTTAGACCTTATTAATCTATTTTTTATGGTTTTGGTTGTGTGTGGTTTTTAATTTTCTTTTTATTTATTGTTTCTGGCTGTTGTCTTTTATTTTTGAAATTTAAATCAATGTCTTGCAGTTGCAATGTACAAAATTAAGGTTTATTGTTCTTTGCGAAAGCAAACTAGCAAACTAGCAATATTATGCAATTATTTATATTATATTAATTGAAAATAGTCTCAAAACAACAATATTACTATAAATCACAATTTCTGTGAAAATTTCCAGCAAGTTGTCGTCATGATGGGCCTGCATAGAAAAACACTATTTATTCATATTTTTAAAGACATTGATATTTATTAATGCTCTAATGGAGAGGTGTAAGAAATGCTTACAGTAATGAAAATCCATATTTTTAATTTAACCTATGCAAAGTGTAGTTTCATTGCTGATACACATAAATATCTAAAAGCTAAAACAAACTCAAACAGTATATGCGGAAAATTAAAACCCCTAAGCTAAGATAAATGATTATTGCACCAAGCTATTAAAGTAGAGGTAATAAGTAAATATTTTCATTAACGATGTACGAGCCCTGCACATCACAAGGATGTGTGAGCACATCATTACCTGCCCGGTTGTTTGTCTCTGTAGGCAAAGGTGGAGCCATGAGGTTGATGTCCATTGGCTGAGGACAGTCCTGCGTCATCTGCTCCTCTGGGGGCATGTAAGCAGGTGGGGGGGTCTCTACATGAGGCAAAAAAAGACCCAGAATGATGTAAAAAGTGACGAACTGTGGCGCATAGGAAACGGAGACTCATCGCTCCTACCAGGCATCTGGAACGGACTTCCCGGATCGGAGCTGGATGGCGAGTGAGGGAAGGTGGTGCTGCTGCCACTTCCGGGTGAGCTTGGGAAGCCGTTTCCCGGAGAATGAGGGAAAGGAACAGTGTTTGCCTGAGTGAAGGATTCTGGGAAGGTGGCATTCTGGGGCATGTGCGGCTCGTTCTGCTGAAGTGGGTTGCGGAAGCGAGGCAGCATCGTGTGCTTGGCGTTGAACTCGCTGTTCCTCGGCACCAAAACAGGAGGCAACACTGAAAGAAGAAAAATAATACTTCAGTTTGTAGACAGTTGGTGACAAAATGTTGGCCGACAATCTGTCTACAAGTAAAAAGCTCCACAAAACTTCAATTGTTTGGAAAATATCTACAATAACAAGGCATAACATTTTCCTCTTCAGTGTATCGTTGAATGTTTTTCATAAATGAACAATGATGCCACCATTCTAACATTGGTCAGCACTAACACTGACCAATGTGTTACTGCTTACCAGATCAAATCAGATCAGATAAGCTGGGGGTTCAGTAACCTAGTAATTGAAAAGACTCCACAAATACAAGAAAACACACATGTTGTCACAATCAGACACAGAATAGCTCAACAGTCTCACAAAAGTATTCATAACGCTTTAATTCTCCCTTACTTTGTCGTGTTGTACCACAAACTTAGCATCAGCGTTAGTGTTTTCACACCGTGAAGTCTGGCAGACTCGGCTTTTAGTGGCTGTAGGATTTTACATTTTTCACTGGCAGAAGGCCAAGAGTTGCTTCTCCTGCTAGTGCTAGACACAAAACATTTGTTTTGGCTACTTTTACCCAGAATGCCCTGCGTTGTAGTCCACTTCCTGCTTTTGGATCAATCTCCAATCTGCTTAGCATTCAGATATGCATCAGAACTGCACCAATCCTTAAAAAACCTGACCTGCCAATTTTGATTTTGGCTGATATTAAATTTTTTTGTCTGAAATGTTGCTAAATATAGCAAGAAAATTACTGAGTTGGCAACAGTGGGGTGAATATTGTTAAATGTAAATGTGCAGACCTGACCTGGTGGGCCGGTCTGTCAGTCACACCTCTCACTGTTGCGCAAAAGAGGACAGTGTTGGAAATATTAGTTTAATTATGCTAGTTTTAATGCTAGCTTTAACTTTAGCACATGGTGAAATATTAGACTGATCCTGATTGTTTTGAGTAGGCCTCAATTTAGGTTAGGTTTAGACTCACAGTTTAATCAATATATAGCTTAACCAGTATATAAAAAAAACTATTGATAAGACTAATTTTAATCAAATTGTGATCATTATATCTAAGAAAATTGTATGATTTTATGCATTTGATTGTTTGAATAAATTCTGGATGATTGTGAAGTTAAACAGTGACTGTTGTCTTTGTGGTTTCACTTTTACACAGGACATTAACGGACCTGGGGAGACGAGATAACAAAGAGCAACAGGTAGTAAATATCTTGTTTTTCAACAACAGAGACTGATTTTTAAACCTTTGCTGAGGAATAGAAGATTAGGGGATGGGCTTCACGTGAAAGTATCGCCCAATCATGATCCCACAAAATTAAGGAAATCGGCGCCCAGAAATCAACTGGTCAATAAATCAGTTGGCCAATAAATGTATCCTATATTAAACATTTATATTATGTAAACAGCACTGCCAGAGATGCATTCAGTTTATAGCAAGTGTGTGAATGATCTAATGATCGGGCTGCTGATTGCAGCCAGTCCACATTGTTAGTAGAACTAGAGGGCCCCAAAACCAAATTTTGCTTAGGGCCCCATGGAGGCTTGGGCCGGTCCTGATCAGTTCACAACAGACGTGACTTACAATCACATGCATGCGAGCTCAGATTAAACCCTGATGTCTTTCTGCTGCTCTCCATGATCCAACATTCTGAGCGCAGATGTCGCTGCATTTTTCAAATGTCAGCTTGCAGGCAGTTGGTCTGAGCCAGCAGTATTTGGCTCCGACTCTCAGGTTTCTGCCCTGAAAGTTTGTGCGAGATGAGGCATTCTTGTGGAATTCATCACTTGGGGTAAATATCCCGGCTGATGGCTATTCAGGTGCAGCGGAAACCACAGTGATACGCTCCGCTTGCGTCTATAAATACCTGAGTAGATACAGAAAGCTGGAGCTGACATTTTAGATGAGGCTGATACATCAGAGAAGTTATTTTAAAGGTTAAAAATTGATGTTCAAGCAGCGAGAGGAGGTTGACGGGGTGTGTGTTTGCTAGAGCGTGTGTGAGATGGGGGACGTGAACAGACAGGTAGTCTGGAGTTGAATCCCCTGATCTACCCGCCGCTAAAACTAAACGTGTGCAAGGCAGGCAGCGAGTCTTTCCTCCTTTTGTGTGTGAGCGACTGTCTTCCTGTTCCTCACAAAACCCTCATGCAATCAAGAATTAAGTGTGTGTGTGTGTGTGTATGCGTGTATGTGTGTGTGTGAGCGCAAGAGAGATTTGGTGAGTCTTTGTAGACTGTGCGTAAGTGAATGAGCACGTGTGCCTTTGTGTCAATGTGTGCAGAAGAAGGGGTCTACAATTTGAAGCATGCGTATAACAAAGCCCCGTTCTCCCTGACATGGAATTTCCTGCTCCAAAAACACATCAAAGAACACACACACGCACGCACATTTTTACCCATATTACAACCTCACATTGACTTCGATTCATTCTAGTAGCTGCATCAACTGCCTAATCCTAACAATTACAACTCAATTCAAAACTACATTATTAATCCCAAAGAGAAATGAAACGTTGCTAAAACTCATGTAATTTTCTTTAAAAAGTTGCTATAGGTGCTGGTGGCTACAGGCAGGGAGGATTTCCTGCAGCAGCTTATATTACAGTGGCTCTGAAGAAGCCCCTGACTGAAGACACTGCTGTTGTATAAAAGTCTGATGATGAAGTAGCTGAGTGTTTTCTGTAGAGATGCAAATCTATCAGCCAATTTGATTTTGATTTTTAGGCTCACAATTCAATTCAGTAAACAAGTTTTCTATTAAACGATGGCTGAGAAGAGGAAAGGACTGTAAACAAAGCATTTATTTAAAACAACTCTACAAGGTTGCATACTGTATCAAATTCCATCAGGTTACATTTAAACAAAAATAGGTTTGTACATAAAACACTAACATAAATTACCAGTATTAGGTTAGCTTACCTGTCGGATTTTTTCTTAAATAAAAAATGTATATCAAAGAATTACTCATAATACATTCGGTGGCTGAGCAGACGCATGATGCAGTATAGGAGCGGCAAAGATGCAACACCTACACATTTTAAAATCGATTTTTAAGAATAATTCTCTATAGAATACATTTTTTCTGCATTTCTAATTGTCCGTTATTTTCTTGATTTTTATGAAGAGTCTTTCTTTGCACTTCCAGAGGTTCCACAGCAATCTTCAGAACAGAACCAGCATTCTTCACTTAGAGTGATACTTGACCTTCTGAAGTATCACACTACACTAACGATTACCAATTCATTCCTATTCCAACCTTAACCAAAACCTAATTCACACCACACCTGTAAACCAAACTTACAAAATAACTACAACAGCCCATGTTTATCAAGAATCTAACATAGACTCGCACCATTCTATACCATTGTCCTCAGGTATGTAAAGCAGAAGTAGCCTATGTTTTACCTGATGGGGTATAAAGTTGCTGTTGCTGCTCCTGCTGCTGATAGTGCTGGAGGGCATGGCTGTATTGATCTGAGACTGTAGACATTAAAAAGACCATAGGAGAGATGGTCACTGATTCAAGAAGTGTTATGAAGTACATTATGAAATAACTTCTATTCATCTGTGTCTCACTAAATAAACCCTAATATCTGACTGGTTAAACTGTACAGCAACTTTAAAGTAGACTGCTTTAAAGATCAAAATATCTCAGAGGGGTGAACTCTACTTTTCTAGGACCTCTGGGAAAATTAGTCATAAGTTGGAGAGATAAAATAAATTCATGAGATCTTGTACTTCTCAACAAGATCTTCAGAAAACTCATCCATGCGTTTATCTTTAGTCGAATTGAAACGTTGAGAAGCAGCATTCAATTTTTATGCTCCTCTGATCTGGAAGAAACTTCCAGAGAACTACAAAACTGCTGAAACACAGTTTCTTTAAATCAATGCTAAGAACCCATTTGCTTAGAGATGCCTTCAGTTAATAACTGTAACATCATAAACTGTAGTCGATCTTTCAACCTGTCATCATTTCTTTTACTTTGATACTGCAACGTCATGTTTTTTTCTTGTTTGTTGTTTTATTTTTCCTAATCATGAAAAGCTCCTTGAATTGCCTAGTTGCTGAAAATATGCTGTACAAATACACTGCCTTTCCTTCAGCACACAGCCATTAAGTGAAAATATGAATAAAATTTCAAATATAAATAAAAACATACTTTAAGTGATATCTTTATTATCATAATTAAGATATATTACTTTAATGAACAAATCAGACTTAAGTTTTATTCAGATTTCCACATGTATAAATCAGTTTTGGGATATTTTGACTTACTGAATTGTGGCATGTTTGGCTCTCCATATCTGCTGCGGTTAAATGTTATTACAGTTAGACATTTTTAGATCAGAGCGCCAAAAGTTTTGGGCTGAACCTTCCTTTAGCAGCTGAGGGTCTACAGGAACATCTTCTTTCTGTTGACGGCTGCTCACCTCCAGCCCAGATCCTGTTACTACACACCTGGTAGTAACACTGGGTAAAACGGTGAGAACGTAGAGCAAAGCGCACACCAGAGGAGTGCACTTTGAGGCGATTTGGTGTGATTTGTAGTTATTTGTACTCAACTTATTGGAGATATCAAAGAAAACTGTCTGCTAGGAGATGTTATGTTCTCATCATACTTCAATGCCTTTGGGGCGCTTCTTACCAACGCCTTCTTTCAACACCAGAGACTTGATGTCATTTAACATAAGTGACTCATACAATAACAATATTCTGTCCTCCATTTAGAGTCATTTTTATTTTTAGGCAGTACAATATGCTGTACTGGACTGAAGATAAGGGATAAAAGAGTCAATGTCCAGAGAAAAGGAACTGAAAAGGAACATCACTTTAAAAGCTGACAAATCTGACTCACTCATTTGAAGTATGAAGAAAGTTGTTGGTTTATAATTTTTGTCCTTACATTTCTTAACAAAAATAGTTCAAAACATAAAGGAAAACAGTTAACCATCAAGTGCACCGACTAAAGTAATCTAAATGGAAATTAAAGGAAAAGTTACATTAAAATCACATTAGTAAATTTTTGTTGGTCTTATTTTCTGCTAGATTGTAGTAGGAATATGGATTCCAATCTATAGTGCTTCTAAAAACATCTAGAACTTTATAATGAATAATAGGGGTGGGCCGATTTATCAGGGCCAATTTCCTTCATTTTGGGGGATCGGTGATCGGCCGATCTAATCCCCAGATCTCATCTACCTCAGCTAAGGTCTAAAAATCAACAACTGTCCTCTTCTGCTCTGCTCTGAGAAAGGTTGACTGACAGACCGGTGCACCAGGTCGTGTCTGCACCTTTTCAGTTAACAGTTTCCCCACTGTTGCCAACTCAGCAACTTTCTTTCTATATTTAGAAACATTTCAGGCAAAAATATTTGGTATCAGCCAAAATAGGAACCAGCAGGTTCAGGCTAATAACCGGTAATCTGTGATCGACCAGGAAACTGCAATTGGTTCTCCCCTATTGTATAAAAAAAACAAAAAAAAAAAAACCTATCTATACATTTTTTTTTTTGTTTCTGTGTTGAAACTTGTTGGGGAGTAAAAAGTGACAAACCCAAAATACTGTAATTTAACTGCTGCCTTGAGACTATCTGATATTTCTCACCTGGACTGTCCACTCTCTTATAGTGGTAGGGGTTGATGCACACATCCTTCTGTTTGGAGCCGAAGGGATACTCGCAGCATTCCAGCGCCTTCAGCTCATGGTGGGACTGCAGGTCAGGCCAGCGCCACACCCGGCAGTAAATGACATGTGGCAGACCCTTTCTGTGGGACACCTGCAGCCGTCCGTCCAGCGAGCGAGGGATGGTCACACAGTTACTGGGCTGACCCGGGCAGCTGAGCGCCCGCTCCAGCTCCTCCATGGCTCCCTTCTTCTTTTTCAGTTTCTTAACCAGAGCATCCACAGCTTTTTCCGCCCACTTCTCCTCTTCATCGCCCTGCTTCCAGCCCAGCAGCCGTTTGACGGCCGGGCTGGTGAAGGAGAAGAGCGAAGTAACATTCATGGTGACTAATTTTCCCTCCTGAAGTCGCCAAAAGAAGCAGCAGAATCAGCTAGAAAACAGGGACAGATTGTCTGATTCTTGGGTTTCTTTTGTTTTTCCAAGTACTTCCCAAGTTTCCAAGGTCCTGCAAGAAAGAAAAAAAGGTTTTACAATGAAGCTATAATCTGAAAGATAAATAAATAAATTCTGTATTTTCTTTTCTACAGCAGAAAGGTAAAGTTAAAAGTGACTCCTGCAGCCACAGCTGTCAGTCATGAGTTCTGGGAAAGTGGCACCGCTCTGTGAACATCAGCCTGACATTCTTCAGATAGCTTCCTGTCTGTATGACTTGTCACATTACCACCAATTACTAATGTCACTTACAGGAAGAAGTCTGCATACTGCAACCTCCACAACCTGCAGCATAAGGTTGCTGAGGTATTTCATGCTCAGCACCTGTTGATGTTCCACTACACAGTTATATCCACTGTAAGGATGCAACTAACAATGTCTCTAGCTATTGATTAATCTATTGATTATTCTTCTGATGATTAATTGGATAAAAACATTGGCACATTCTGCTGATTTTTCATTTGAATGTGTCTGCTGCCAAAATAAAATACTTCTAATGTCATCATGTGAAAAGATCAGACAGCTCTGCTGGATTTAACATGAATACAGTCTAGGACTGATCTGTTAGTTATTGTTTTCTGATTCATAAATGAATAGCAAAAGGTGATTAACAGGAGATTTTTTAATAGGATCAGATGAAGCAAAAACTGTGACACGTGAGGTGTTCTGGGTAGAACACGTTCAGTTTTAACTTTTTTAATTTAAATGCAAAATCTATATTTTGAGATTATAATTTTGTAACTGTTGTCATTACATATAGAGTTTAGGCTTAATTACTGCTCTAAATATGTCGTTCTAACTGACCTTTTTTGAGTCTGTTTTTCAGTCAACGATTAATCAATTACTAAATTAGTTGACAATTATTTCAATAACTGATCCATTGTGATTAATGTGATTAATCATTTCAGCCTTAATCTGTTGTGACTTTAATATTTTGCAGGCTTGTAAACCACCAAGCATTTGACAAGTAATTGTAAGTAATTTCTCGATTCATTTTTTTATTTAGCAAACAGATTAGTTTTAATTTAGTAAATTACACAACCTCTGTACACCAACCATGTGTTTGTGTAGGACAATACAAGGGAAGTGACATGTGGACCCCTGAATAAAAGTGCTCATTCACTGGGTCCCAATGGGGCAATTAAATACCCAGAGGGTCCACACCTTCCAGTTTTTAAAAGGAAAAACTAAACGGCATTGAAAACTTTCTGCTCTATGCGCCTTCTCTTTTTTTTAATTGTCAGAATAAAATTAGACAGAAAAATTCAGTCATACTTGAGGTTTGGCTCTGGATAAATGTCCTGAATCCAATGAACAGTTGACCAGAAATTTGGCACTAAGTGAGGATGCATCAGCATCTGACAGTAAGTCAACAGCCCATACAGAATAGATACATCATTAAGACCACTCTGCAGTTATTTCTGGCGATGCAGCTTATGGGATGAAGAGTGTTTTCTATCTTTGTCATCAGTGTGTGTAAGACTCAATATAATGCAGTCTGATGTAAACAAATGCTGAATAACCTGCAAGTTGAAATAGAAACATGCTTTGCAAAAGTATAAGTAATATTCACAGAATTCAATATAAAAAAAGTGCAGGATTGAAAAATGAAATTGCTTTTTATTTTTGACAAATAAAAATCTGATTCTATTCAGAGTCAATACTTTGTAGAACCAACTTTCCCTGGAAAGTTTCAAGTCTTTTAAAGTTTTCTCTCCTAGCTTTGCACACGTCGACACAATTTCTGCTCATTCCTCAGCTTCATAAAACTTCCTATTAACTTTGACCAGCCTTCCTTATCCCTGCTAATGAAACTCATCCCCTCAGCATGATGCTGGCACCACTATATTGTGTTTACAGGGGGATGTGCAACATTTTCTTTCTTCCACACACAGTGTTTTGCATTACTCTGTTTGTTACTAAAGCTCTCTAACAAACCGCTGAGGCCTTCACAGAACAGCTGTATTTACTCTACAGCTGCACAAAAGATTAAATTGCAACCATCACTTTATCCATATGTGCAATATTTACATTCCAGCAGTTTCTACTTTACTTCTCAAAATAAGTTGCACTGGATTTTATTTAAGGCTATCAGTGGGATGAATACAAACAATAAATAAAAACAATAAATCTTGAACTTCACAATTATGCATTACTTTGTGTTGTTCTAGCACATAAAATCCCAGGAAAATATATTAAAGTTTGTGGCTTTAGCAAGAAAAATAATGTGGAAATAATGTTGAATATATTTGCAAATTATAAAGTCCCCAAAATAAAACCAAAATGTTCAAAACAATTCACTAAAACCATTTTTTTGTCATAGAACTACAACATGTGGAATCTGGTTCTAAACCAATAAAATGATTGCATAATTTATCCATTTTTGGTATTTCGCAGTCAAGCATCCTTGAATCTACGACACATTTTTCTGCCTGAAAAAAATAACATGTACCTTTTACCCCAACCGACTGCGAGGTTTGCTTCAATAAACTTCTGACTGAGTCATTTCACTTAAATATTATTACAAAATCTGACACCATCTCTCCTTCGTCATACCTCAGTTTCAAATGAAAAAGCAGATTGTGACGTTATCACAGGAAAAACAGACACATCCGGAAGCAGCTAAACATGAAGTGTAAAAGTTTAGGTTTTAAAACGATGTCACAGGTATACTGTATCATAAGAAGACATTTTAAGAAGCATCCAGCTAATGCACATGTTTTGAAGGCTTCTCAGTAACAGCCAACGCTCTCAGAGGAATTCAAGACTAGCCGCATGAAAACAATTCCCCGTCTCATAAGTTTGGACTGTAACATCTGGAAGAGGACTAACGCAATCTTTTGCTATGATTCAGCTGCAGCTGGAGGCCATGTTTCCTGGATGTTTCCATTGCTGACAGTCTATCATATCTGACTGCTTGTCTCACCACAAGCGTATTCAGAGAGCCTGCTGTGGCACTGTGTTGCACATTAGGACAATGCTCTTCTACTGCTTCATTAGGGATAGTCAAAGTACAACGGTGCCAATGTAGAGTCCTCTACATTTGGTTCATTTAATATTTGTTTTTCTTATTTCAGAATTATTGGTTGATAAATTCCAATATAATGTGTGTTGTCTGAAAAGTAATGCCAGATCTCTGATGTAACATTCTTGTGTCTATTTTACAGGAAGCTGCTGGGTTTGTTTGGCTGTGAGCAGAAATCCAATTTGTGATGACACATCGAGGTTTTACCAACCATTAAAGCTCACTGGACCATCTGGTCTGAAAAATGTCACATTTTTAAATAATCTCACTACATCCCAGCACACAGGAATGCACAATATATTGTGAATATATTGCGATATCAGTAAGTATGCGCAATATACATGGCACAAAGGATTGTTGGAGTGCAAAAACTGTTGGTTAATATATTTTAAAATTTCTGATTAATATTTTAATAAGTGATCAATATGTTTATATGCTATATTTAGTTTTCAGTCAAACAAAATAGTAAACATCATAGTTAAGCCTTTAAATCAACTGCTTATATTGAAGTGATTCTTATGTTGCCATGGAGCTTTAAACTTCCTCCTAGTCAACGAAGAACCAACAGATGCCAGCAGTGACTTCGGAGCTGCTCTCTTCCCTATAAAACCTGAAACACTCACTATCATTTACACAACAGACCCATAAAAAAACCCTCCTGACATTCCCTACAGTCGAGCCCGAGCGCAGTGCTTCCCTATTAGTTTAGCGGTAGCATGTTATGGTCATCAGTTAGCCCACTGGACAGAGACTGGAGATAATGGGAGCACAGAGTGGGATCATGCGACACAGGCAGGCGAGGTGTTTGACCCACCTGGTGCAAGCTGCTAGCCACTACACTAGCCACATGGATCACTTTGCACCGCTCCAATATCTGTTAATCAATTTAAGCCTGTGCTGTGTAGGATGAAGAGGCAGTAATGATGCTCTCTGGACCCTCCCCAGGGACGGGGCATTAAGAAGAAGCTACATTATTTATCAGCAGGGTCCTAGATGGGGCGTCCATTAACCCTCGCACAATGGAGTCAGCGGCTATAAACAGAGAAAAGCAGGAAGCGAGAGAGGGTGATAGATAAAGAGAAAGAGTAAGGAAGAATGGGGGGAAAGATGAAGAGAAAAAGAGTGAGAAAGTACGAGTGGTGCAGCCAAAGATGTGTGACAGACGATCTGCAATCAGGGCTCATTACTGACGAACCAGACACTGTGTTTTATAAAATGGTAACAATTCAGTTAAAAAAATAGCAGAGAAGGAGATCAGGGCATCACACTGGGGAAACCCATGCATGAGTTTTATTCTTACAAAAAAAACAGCTTTTAATTTTAGTGTCTTGATTTTACCCACTAAAAATCATGCCAGCCGATGAGATTTAATCTCATTGGCTGACATTTAACCAGCTTTATGGCATAACTAAGGTTTGACATCATTTTTACACCTTAAACTGTTTTTCACAAAATTACAGAGGCTAAGGTGATGTGAGTTTGTCCGGCTGTGTGGAGGAGAGTAGCACCACTTGTTGCTGCGTACTGCTGATCAGCTGCTTAAATGAAAGCTGCTCTGCTTTTCCTTCCCTTACAAGATGTACAAATTCTAGTCTGGAAGAACATACATGACTGACAAACATGCGAGTGCAGCACAACTAGGAGAAATGGCTTGTGGTCTTTTCCCATTAACTACAGAGTAATCCTATAACCGCTAAATTCTGACACCACTCCATTTTTGTTTACATTTCGTGAAGAAGGAAATGCCGCTCAGTGTCTTCTTCAGAGGTTTTCATGTCATTTCCTTCAATGGTTTTTGGTGCAGTGCCACCCCAAGGGGGAAAACAAGTTTTTCAAAGGGTTTGGTTCATTTGTCACAATGCAATGTGTGAAAGCAAACTGCACCAACTGAAAATGTAACTAATGTTGCAACTTTGGTCAACAACTGAAGGAGTCCACCAGACTATCAGGTGTACCCTAAAAGAGTTTAAAATGAAGATGTTTGATTGTTTAAAAGAAAAAAAAAAAAAACCATCCTAGGTGGCGGACTCAACAGTAAATACCTCATTTGGTCTATGGAAGCCATCCCTTGTAGACAAGCAGTCATGCAGTAGCAGATGCAGATTCTTGCCATAGCCACTCAAGTCAATACGGCAGTCTAAGAGCAGGGCTTAGAAATAACCACAGACAGGCAGGAGGTGTTGCCCTCCCTGACTAGACATGGCATTGACCCAGGAGGCTCATTTTAGCCGCTGGGGTCACTCTTCCTGACAGACATGAACACAAACACAGATCCAGGGTCGGTAAAGATGAAATAAAGCCATCATGTCTCTCAAACAAAGAACAATAGCAAAACCACTATGTTTTTCTGTGTTGTTTGGAGGTAAATCATATTTTGCCTTACTGGAATCAGATTCTTTACATCCCAGACACAGCTGTCCACACATGACCACGGCAAACATAACTAGCAAACACATGGGTTTTCAAGCTGCCATGTCAAACACGCTTGGCACTCAGTGTTATGTTAGAGAGGACACCTCACCCTGTCACATCCAGTCTACCATATCAAACACCATGCAGACATACAAGAAGCGCTGCAACTTGGCATTGGTTTAGCGTTGTTCTCTGCAGATTTTTTTGGTGGATGTTACCATGCACAGATATAAACTGAAAAGATTACAACAATCACGTCTAATTTGTCAAAGAAACAAGTCTCAAAAAGCACTAAAAATGCTCCCATGATGGAAAAAGCAGAGCAATGATCCAACTGGAACTGTAGCATGAACAAGGACAAATTCCTGTCCTTTGGGTAATCTGATATGTCATCCTCAATAATGTCAGCAGATCTAGGCTTAGCTGCTGTAGGTCCCTCACTTTGTTTTCCTCCATTCTCTTGCAGACATATGAATTCACGGATACAGCAACACAACAAAACATATCCTATGATGTAAAGTCTCTGAAAAGGTCTTAGGAGAGCTGAGTGTACAAAACACTAATGATAACGATGCAAAAATTATGAAGAGATGCATAAGAGGAGGAATATTTTTCAAAGATTCATGAATGACAAGACTGACATAGAAAAAATACATAATAAGTACCCATAATTAACCTTAAATCTGTTGGCAGTGGAAAAATGCTAATTCTGAGAGTTTTGGGTTTTCTTTGTTAAATTTTTAATGAAATGTGTCAGAGTTTCTAAGCTATTATGCCTTGACTGTTATTTTTTCATTTTGCGTAAAATGCACCCTATTTGTTTTGTTTACGAAGAATTACAGGAAATATTAAGTTTGACTCGTGTTTACCTATTTCTTTTCTTGGTGTTAAACACAAATAAATTGTTATTCAGGCCCAACATGAAAATCTAGGGAAAACCATCAACTTTATTAGGTGTTTGAAACTAATGCTGCTAAACAACCAACTGCAGGCTCTACTTATGGTAATTTACCTGCTTAAATTAGATCGTTACACTTGATTGTTACTCCATATGGAGCGGAAACAAAAAAGGTGCAATATTCTGCACACAAAACACTTAACGGGTGAGCATTTTGTATATTGCTACCCACAATTTTGTGTCAAAATGTAATCAATGAATCAATACATGGCATTATTATAACTGTAGTAATCAATATATTTCATTACGTTTGCAGAAGTGGTATTAATTGTTGCTTTTATGTTTTAAAACAAAGCAATTGGACTATATTATGCACTTCTGTTTTGATGATACCCTAAAATTGGGATATTTTAATCAAGGTTTGCATAATATCAGAACCTCAGAGGATTAATCAGTGAGCTTACATTTGTCACAGACATGGCTTAGTTCAGTCATTCATCCCCAGTGTTCATACTATTTAAATAATCATAAATGAAACATTACCACCTGAGTTTGAAGACACATTCTTTATTTTTAGGGCCTTTTTAGCACATATTTATAAGTTACTCAGACAAATTGTCATTTTGGATGTGAAGAAAATAGATGTGTGACACAGTTTTTAGCACATATTTATAAGTTACTCAGACAAATTGTCATTTTGGATGTGAAGAAAATAGATGTGTGACACAGTAACACCACCAATTTCTTTACATCCTGTAACTCAACATGCATTGATTCCCAATTGTTCTTTTTAAAGCTTCACATTTAGTTTGTACTTGAAAAGGTTCCTTATAAACATTGCTAAAGATAAACTTAAATCAAGTAGCAGTGGAATCAGAACTGAATCGATATATATTTTACTGAAAGACCTCAAAATTCAAGTTTTAGAAGGCTAAAAGGCAACAGTTGTAGTAAAAACATAGCTAAATATGGCTCTAGTGTGACGATGTGAGCCAAAAAGGAAGAAGAAAAGTTTGAAGCTTTCCAACTGACACACAGCTGAGAGCTGCTGACCGTTGGGATCTACTTTCTCAGAAACGAAGCCGCGCAGAGTTTACGAAGAAGAAAACCTAGATGAAGAAATGTTCCGTTTGTGTTTAAATATAAATGAATAAAAGTTTTACACTACCTTTCCTGTCCCTGCCGCCCCGGCACTGGGTCTGTATGCGGGCCCCTCCTCAGCGCTCCCACCGCCTCAGTTGAGTCTGCAGCTCGACCTGGCGTCAGAGAGTCGGCAGGCCGTCTCACTCTCCGCTGAGCGCCAGTATCACGCCGCGGGATGCAGCATCACCCCAGACAACAAGAGGACCTACATTTTTTTTCCCTACATTAACATCTTCATTCACAGCAGGGAAATCATGGATTATGTAACTGTGAAACAATGCAGATTTCTCGCTAATTTACTCGAGGTTCTCATGAAGGAGGAGACTTTTTTCCTCCTCAGATTGTTTCCCCCAGGTAAAGTTGATGCAGTCATAAACAAAAGTTTGACAACTTTTGTTGTCAAACTTTGCAATTTTGTTTGTCATTTTATGGATGTGTTGCTTTCTCCCTCTCCCAATCAAATGAAACACATCCTATAATTTGTATTATAACAGTTTCAAATGGGACAAAACTCTTACTTTAAACTCTCCTGGCTTGGTAATAAATTTATTCTTAAAACTTAAAAATGTCTGCCCTTGGTAAAGTCAGTTCTGTTTTCTGTAATTTTAGATTCGGCTTAGGTGGTTTCTGTTAACTCTTGCACTTAGTCTTCCTCTCATTCACTTTGATTGCAATGTGATAAAAAGTGGTCTTATTTAAGAAATATTGTGTCCAAGAACATAGCCACGTCTTACACATGTTACCATCAAAGTTCATGCATGGTTATTCCTCTACATGAAACATTTACTTATTTATTTTGGTACCTATTTTTCATATTGTCCAAATTTTAAAGTTTATGATTCTGCAGAAGTATTTGATTGCATCATTTTTAACACGGAATATCTTGAATACTTACATCAGTTTAAGAAATTTGGTTACCAGAGCTATTCATAGACACATTAAAGTGAAGCAAAAATCACATTTAGAGTGTATAAAACAAAACAGGTGCAATGAAGAAAATGACCTATCAGGAAGAAGATATTTTTATGAAGAAAAAGAAGTTAGAATATATTATATAACTTATTTTCTAATCAAATAACATAAGTTTTTTTTTTTTGACCAATCTCTAAAATTCGCGCCTGCCACAACGAAAGGGACTAGTTTGTCTTGAGGACTCGCGGAGGGTTACGCTCCAAACGGTGGCGACTGATATCGAACGTGACGTCACAGAGCTGGCGGCAGCATGTCTGAGTGAGGCGGGCGCGAGCTGCACGTGAATAAATCTGGGAAAACAGCGCGTGAAGGTAGAGAGGGTGAAAGACGGAGCGGGTGGGGGTAATCTCACGTTGATGATGATGATGGTGGTGATGATGATGATGATGATGATGATGATGAGAAGAGACAGTAGAAAGATTCCTAAACTTTTAACTAGAGGATTCCCTCTTACACACACACACACACACACACACACACACGCGCGCGCGCCCGCGGCAGCTGTGCATTCATTGGACCGCAGATTTACAGTCCCATTACAGAGAGGAACCCACTGAGTTTATACAGACATTATCAGGCGTTGTGGCATTTTATCTCACAATAACTTTGCAATAAACCTGTAGCACTCTAATTAGGTTAATTTGACCTTTATGGCGTGCAAACGTCTCGGTTTGAGCTTTATACAAAAGCGAACCCAGTTGAATCAACTATTTTGAACCTAAACTGGATCTATGCAGAAGAACCTGCCACAGTTGTCAGCCCGTTCTGACACCTGAAGATGCAACCACTGAAAATCGTGTTAATCTCGAGAGACTGACAAAGTTAACCACTCACAAGGAAGTTTGATGTGCTATTCCAACATTTTATAGGTAGCATATGGTAGTTGTAGGGACTATTTTAAGGCTCCATTTTGATGATAATGCCAGGACAATAATATGGAGATGTTTTGCTGCGTTTTGGTATCTCATTTACACGGTAATAGCATTTGACAACAGGCTCCAAAGTGGAAGTTTTGCAAAACGTGACGGTAATCATGTCTGTGTAAAAGAAAACATTTGGAAATGATGTCAGTCAAGTCAACCTACCCAGTTACCTCGGAGAAGTTGGAATTTCAATATGGCGATGCCCAAGTAGTCATTATTTGCAGTACCTCTTAAGAACATCGTTATAAGCTGTACTTTCCACATGCAAACTCCAATTTTATTTAATTTGTTCAGTTAAGAGTTGCTACATGTAACATTGATTTTAGACGGCTCTTACATGTGTGTCTTGTAAAATAAACACGTTTTCGCCACACTATTGCTGATGCGAGTAGCGGCCATATTGAAACTCACCAGAGTTGCAGTTGATTTGTCAAACTGAAAAGTTGGAATTATGACTTCAAATAATTCTTTAACATTGATGAGAAAATAGTATTTCCATAGGCAGATCATTTGACTCATAACATGGGAAAAATGTCTTGTTATAAGTGAAGTAGTCTGCAAATATAACTAATACTTTTTCATCAATATTAAGGAATTATTGACTTAAAACAAGCTTCTATTTCTTGCTGAAAAGTTACTTGTAAGTTAGTTTTATCTTATTTGAAGTGTTTTAAGATATTTGCACAAGAAACTTAACGAAAATTATTTGGTAAGATTTTGTGTTTTTGTAGTGAACATGAGCCAAGGGTTACGCTTGTAGAGCGTTCTACATTGTTTCCAATGCTATTTGTGTTTTCATCTGCTCACGGAGTGTTTTCTCTCCTATATAAACCCAATTTTTTTCAGATATGCAACAGAACTAATTTTTGGAATACCACATGTAGACAGGACATAAAGTCCAAGAGTATTTTGCACATCTGCTACTTTGGGGAATTTATCCAGCAGTAAAAACAGTCAACATGCTATAAAATATCCTCCAATAGTTTTGTGCAGATGTTGAAATTCAGGGAGACATTGTGCTTTGCTACGATAAAACAATCAAGTTTAATAAAAATAGCATTATGTTCTACTACTACTGCTTTATTTAAATTTTCTTTATGATATCTCATTGACTATGATATATCATAGCCTTTTTTTGTGATATACCAAAAAATCCTCAATAAAGCATCAAGGACAATCCTTGTAAATATTTCTGCCATTCAGTCAGCTGTAGATCATCTGATAATATAGTTTTATCAATGCTTGCTAGTATCAAAAATAAAAACAATACAAATTGCAATATCAGCCATTGCCTGCAAAGTTCATATGATAGATGTTGGGCCTTTTGGAGCTTCTAATAATCAGGTCGACTGGTATTTAGAAGACGATCCAGTTCTCATAGCACAGGAAAACAATGCCAGACAAACTGTAATGCTGTTACAAAAACACAGAAAATATTAATAAATGATATTTACTTATTAGAAAAGCTGTTACTTCCAGTGCTCAATCAGTCATTCTGTGGTGTTTTATCATGGAAAACTGGCAGAAAGAGAATGCTGCTGCTGCTGCTGCTTAAAAGATTTGCTGACAAATTAGATTTTGTGGCAGAAGAGTGTCAGACATCCGTTTTTTCATTGAGCATAATGCTGGCACAAGGCAAACATTTGCATCTTTAAAGCATATAACATGACATAAATTACATTTCAGGTAATATATGCTGTGCATGAATTGAGATTATGGAAAATGTATTACATTTCATGGTTTACTATGCTGCTCTACTTAGAATATCAGAGGGAAAAAAATCCAAAATGTTCATCCCTTAAACGAGTTGTTCAGGTTTGTTGTTCACATAAATATTTATAAATATTCTGATAGATTTTGCTCAGACAGCAGTCTACTGTCGACTAACAGTCGATCCTTATTGTTGAGCCATCACACAGCAGGACACCAAACGCTGACAGAGGCTGAAAAGGACAGACAGAGGGGGTGGCTTCTTGCTGTCGTTATGCTCTAGATTTTAGTTTTATGAGCTAACCACAGTGGTGGAGAAAGTACTCAAAAAATGCGCTTAAGTAAAAGTACAAATACACAGTCAAAAATGTACTCAAG